GATTATTTACAAAGAACTGATGAGAGAGGTGGAAGTCCCTCTCTATCCCCTCCCCCCTACCACTTGCATTAATCTGGGTTGCGCGATGCGATAAATCAATTTGTAAGCAGGAAATGTAGAGTTGCCGTTGGGGATGCAGGGGGATCTGTCATTGTTAATAGGTAACTCTTATGATGTGATTGTCTGGATATCCATGAATGAAGATTATAATCAATGATGAATAATGCACGTACAGTCTTCCGACAGGATTCTCTGCACAGTGCACATGAGGGACATGGATGGACATTAACGTGGACGTGAACATGGAGGTAGAGATACCGAAGGGAGCTCCGGCCTGATATTTCTCCTTTACGGATTGATATCAGGGGATGGTTAGTATCTGAAGATATGTTGTAACTAGCCACCGCATTTTACATCTATCTATTTTGCATTCGGAAGGCATGTCTTTGAATCATATGATATCAACTCCGTTCACCGCATGGGTGGCGGAAAATGTACCTTTGCTGGTGTAACCTGCAAATCATTGGTTACCCGCAAGGGGTTCAGGGGCTGAAATACGGTTGAGTTTTGTTGGCTATATAGTGCGATGGATGGTTTTGTGCGGGACACCACCCTTTCCAATCTCTGCTCTAGATAAGCTACATCCTGTACTGTACCTACGCCAATTTCTCGTGTTTGTGTTATATAGCACACACAAAGGGGAAAGCTTTCATTTGTCCATCTCTAATGTTATTCATAAAGCAATGCCTAACTATCGATTGCTGACTACCTTTCCTTGTACTAAACCATTTAATCCATGGGACCGTTAAGGTAGGGGAACACGGAAGGGGGAACTAAGAAATAAAAAACCTTCATTCCAGGAAGGTAGAAAACCCTTGTCAACGCGCCAATGTAAAAAATGAAACGTTTCAAAGCCTTTGCAAAGCAGAAACAAAACAGCGCTGAAGGGCAGAAATTTCAAATGTGGGTAAGAATAAAACAACCCCCAGGAAGCCCGTTGCCATGAAGCCGTAAAATAAGAAAAAAAAGAAAAAAAGTAAAAGTATATGAAACGAAAAACAAGCGAACAAGCCTGTAGAATATATGAAAGAAGCCCGCTGTACATAAAAGAAAATATGTCTGTTCAAATCATTCCATCCGGGGGCGAACCACCTGATTCCTTCCCCTCTAAAACAAATCTCTACTTTCGGAAAGTAAAAGATTTCCCTTCAATCTCCTTTTTCACTTTATGCATTCCCTGTGGCCCTTCCATTGCTTTGGCGTACAGGTTGAACTGTCGTTTCTGCTTGTGTACCCCTCGATATGGTCCATTATTGCCCCCCTTGTTTCTATTCTCCACAGACTTGGAGTGAAGGACGGATTCGGCGTTGCTGTAGTCAAAAGGAGTAAAATTGGCTATATCTTCGCCATTACTGCTGTTGTTGGTGGCATGGTCATGTTGCTGTTGAAGCGCTGATGCCAATTTCTGCTTCTTCTTTTCCCGACGATTCTTTGCTTTGGCCTCAGAATTATGTGGATTTGATTTAGAACTGGCGTTGGAACCGGAGACGGAGGGAGATGCAGGCTCATCCGTTAGTGTGACCGTCCCAGTTTGCGTTATTATTGTTGAAGCTGCAGCTGCAGTTGTAGGCCTCTCAATGTCTTCTGAACCGTCTGTCGATAGGGTTATCTTTCTTTTTTTTGGCGCCCCGAATTGCTTAATCGTGAAAATTTCATTGGTTGTACTGCTGGGTTTCATGGTAGCGGTGATGACCTCAGATACATTAGCTTGCGATAGAGTAGTCTCCTCTTTTACCAACGAGATAGTGCTGGCTGATACTTTCGTCGAGATACCAGGAAAGGGAAGAGAGAGCAGTAATGCTTCTGCGGTGGCTGCCAAGGCATGTGGCACTGGAACTGGTGGATGGGGTTTCTGTTCTAGAGTGGAGCCCCAAAGTTCGGACACCTCAGCCCTAGCGGCTATAGCGGGATGGCTAATTGTTCCAGCCTGAGGTGATGATAAAGACAGGGGCGTTGTGGGTTTGGATCCGTCGGTTCGCTGCTTGTATGGGAAAAGTACATCTCGGAGTTCTGGGCCAGTTGCGCCGGCAAGCTTTGCTTCCTTGATAACCTGGACTAGCTCTGACATTCTGGCTCTGACAGGTGGGGAAACAGGGGAGATGGTTCTGAGAAGAGAGGCTGGATCCAGAGGCATGGCGTGGGCAATTTTGAAAAGCGATTGCTTTGAGAGAATATACTGAACGCCTTCATCTTCGGATCGTGCAAGTTTGTCTCGCCACTGATGTACAGCCTTGAATACCGCGAACTGTTCTCGACTGAAAAGGGTGGAATTTCGAATAAGCATGTCGTGCCACCCGCCACCTCCTTCTCCCGTTTCTGCGTTATAAACTGGACGCTCATACCGTTGAAGAGCTTCTTGTCTAGACTTCTCAAGAACGTAATCTACCAAGTTGTGGGCAGGTGTTGAATTCTCCACAAGACTGTTTCGAATATGGTCGTAGATATAAAGAAGATAGTGGGTATCTGATCGTGCATAGTCAAACATGCCAGGTAAAAGCGGTCGCAGTCTCCAATCAGCCATCTGATATTTCTTCTCCGCCTTGAAGTTTACAAATTTCTCCAGGAGAAATTTCAAACTCCTCTTCGGGTAATTTAGCGCTACCGACCCATGGTATGTATCAAAGAGACCGACAATGTAAAGACCTAGGTCACGTTGAAGCCATATTATATCCATAGTTGAACCGTGAAGCACTTTCAAGATCTTGGGATCTGTAAACACTTCGTTTAGCACCTGCAATTCCTCGCGCCATGGCTTCAATGTGTCGACAATCCAATCTTGCTCTCTGGTACTGATTTGCATGAGACAAACAAGGCCGTGGTACGAATGCACGTCATGGTGTTCTAGATCAATGGCTATTTCGGTGGCTTCTTTCAGTTCCGCAAGCATGGAGTGGACTCCTTCGAGGGTATCCACAAATGTGGCGGTTGTGGCATCAAAGGATTTATATTCGACCGGTGGGGATATTGAGTATATCGATTGGGGGTAAGGCGAATTACGTATTTCGGTCTCGTAGGGATGTTTGTAACTAAGGAAAGAACGGATTTATGTTAGTATTTGAACGTCCAGCTCAAAACGATCCAGAGATGTAAGGGGAGTGCTCTTACAAGGTTATAGTGCCATTGGGGCCAGTTTCGCCAAGGCTTTCAGATAATGGAGTTATCGCATGGGGTTTAGATCGGAGTAATGGCTTGAAAGGAGAAGTGTCATTGTTATTTGGACGAGAGATGAACAAAAGCTGCGGCTTGGAAATTTTGGATGGACCGAAGTCGTAAACACTAGGGAATTGAGCGGTTGCGGGCCTTTTGCTGACTGCGGCGCTTCGTTGCTCTTGCGATGGGCTAAGTTTCTTGATTACTCCAGTAAATTCATCAAGGCAAGCATCGGCCTTTTCCAAGAGCTCATCAATCACGTCCACAATGGATCTCCAGTTGTCTTCCAAGTCATCTTCATTGTGTAGTTCGGGGATGCGCAGTCCTGATCCGGACGTTGCAACTTTCAGGATGGAATTTGTTAGGCTGAGGAGGCGTGCGCTTTGCTCATCAACGGACTCGGATATATCCTTATTCAAAGAACGGTGGAAATTCAGGTCTTGCGACGACACTTGTGTAGCAGACCTGACAGTTTTGACAAGGGCGGTCTTCGCTTGCTCTTCATGCGAAGCAAAGTCTTCAGCGATCTCCATAACTCGTTCACTGTAACCGTTGCATTTCTCGAATAAAAAGATCGTGGGCGAATTACAAGAGAATAAAGGGACAAAAGAACACACGAAGGGGTGGGACGGGGAACGAAGGGCTTCTTTGCTGTACGAACTGTTGCGTGCACACGGCAAAAATGAAATATACAAGGTCCGAAGTTTCTTGGAGAAAGGTAAGTTGCAGAAGGGCGGAATTAGTTAGTTAAACTTCAAAAGTCAAGTTGAGATGGACAAATGTTAATCCGGGGCACCAGTAAATTTGCTGACTTCATCTGCTTTGAGCTTCAAGAAAGGAAAAGAAACATTTTTTGTTCTCCTTCTATCTCAAGATCCCAGATCCCATGACTGACCCTTAGCACTCTGGCAAGCTTTAAATTAACTGTTCTCACACTGCTAGCAGAGTCTTGTCGGGTACCCCTAACCACAAGATGTCAGCCTCTATAGCACCAGAATGCAACAACATCAAAGAGTATGTTTCAGAAGTTACTTCAAATGTTGTTGTACATGCAATTGTGGGATGTAGGAAAGTTGACCGATGTTCTCAAGGAAATATGAAACATGCTTCTTGAAGTGGTATAGCGAAAGTATGAGCCCCAAGTGCCGTTGGCCCAGCTTCGACGGCTAACTCGGACTTGGAATTAGAGTATCTCCGTGGGAACACTACCGACAAGGACTGTGCGAAAGTCTTTGAGGAATACCAAAAATGCCTTTCGGTATGTCTCCTCCCCTCCCTCCCTTGCAGTTCGTCCCTCCTTCTCTTCGGGAATTGACGCTGCTCCGTCGTAGAAAACTCTGAAAGAACGAGGACTGGACGGGATGGTGGAAGAAGCTCGCAATAGTAGCAAGGAGAGCGATGCTGAGTTTCTGAAAAGGAATCCTTGTATGATGATCACTGGCCACCAATTTTGCACGGAGTACTAATTTTGGTGGCAGAAAGACCATGAGATGTATCCTAAAGGGACTGGTATTTGGCAGGGTTGTTGGGAGGAGGGTTGGGGGGGTTCGGAACTATGGGGTGGCAAAACGAAAACCAATGTGTTCGGAGGAGACTGAGGCCACGACAGAAATACAGAACGCGAAACACGTGAAGACGATGAAGATGATCCATAAAATGCGATGACATTGCTCTACAGATTGAGGATGGTGAGGATAGACGGCGGAAAACACACAGAAAAGTACCAGCAGCCGAGGAGAATAAGCAGCAAATTGCAATTTGGAAAGAGAGCAAATTTTCTTACCTGGTCATTACCACAAGCGGCGATTAGGGTATTCGGCCAAGATACTCAATGCTTTTGCAATGACTTCTGCTTCAAAGGGGCTTGGTGAAAGTTTTGGTCCGTAGTGGCGGGAATCGTCGATGACGTCTGATACACTTTTTTTGTCTGGATGGACGTTTTTTTCCTGGCTTTAGGTTCTTATTGTATCTTGATTCCATGTCTTTCGCGGTTGCGTATCCAAATCTGCGGCCAAAGTCGCGTACCATCTCATGCCACAAGATGTCCGTCCCAAGCCTCAGGGTTGCGAGATAGATGTCTTCTTCGATGCCCCAGTCCCGGTGCATTTTGAGCCCTTGTGTATGAACCACGCGGTAAGAAGACGGTTAGGACGTTTATCAGATACTGTGGTACGCGTCGAGAAAACGTGTCTATGGGTGCCAGAGAGAGAGTGTGTGTTTAACAGAATGATTAAGAGTGGGAGTGCGTCTGTGTATGAGTCTGGGCTGGTGGAGGAGGGAAAGAGGAGAGGAGACAATGAGAATGTGGGTTTATATGAGCTTTTTAATCTACAGGTGTTGTTATCCCTCCTTTACACTCATCTGTTTAGCACTACACATGACAACAATGTCGCCGTGGTGAAACTTTAGCCCTGTGTTCATCAGGCGTTATGCAGTTGTGATTTCTGCAGAGGTCCAGTCCAGTGAGGACATAATGGCCCTGGGGTTTCTTTGTGTCCAGTTTTCTTTCCTTTGCTCCCATATTTTTGGATTATCCCATGAACTGATTTTGTTGCTGAGGGGTCGACAACCTCTGAAAGGCTTCAGCTCACATATCACTCTATTCTACGATGATGCCAGATAATGGCATCGGGCACGATCCAGCCCAACTCAGGTTTTCCTAAAGTGGACAGAATTATCTCAAGAGATTTCTGCCAGTTTTCTACTGAGACCGGCCAAGGCTGCCGCATGGGCGGGCCTGCAAAGATATGGAACAAGTCTACCGAGCACAACAGCGCTAGGCTGTCGCTCGAGGCGAGGACGCTTTTCCGCCCCTCAGACACCAGTCTGCATGGCGTTTTTCAAACGGAAAAGGGGAAAAGGGGGCAATCTGAAGGCTTTGGGCATCACCGATCAGGGGTAGGGTCCTGCCAACCCCGCTCCCAACACCGATGCTGTATTCTTTCCCTTCAATCGGCAGTCCAATAGCACCTGCGCAACCTGCAAACCTTTCCCCTATCCTAGCCGTTGATGAATTCCTTGCCTTCAGAACAGATGTTACCTCACCATTCAAGGCTTCCAAAGCTCTGTTTCCCCTCTCCCCATATCAATTGGGCTTGTTCAGGGCTGTAAAAGGGCACAACGGCAAACATTAAGGAAGACGTTAGCAGCAACCACAAAATGCTGCAGTTATAAACCGCGGAATCACATCATGTCTTCTCAGTTCAACTTACGCAAAGAACTTGGTCAAGCCACCAACCTATTCCGTCGTATATATATAAACCTAACTCCCACCCCACAACCTCTTCCCTGGTCACATTAAAATAAAGAGAGCATTCCAAGCCCCTAATGTGTTTCTCCGTCAGTTGTATCTCGGACAAGCTTCATCAAATGGACTTCCTTGCCCAGGTGATTCTCGGCCGAGCAGTTGGGGGCGAGCTATTGTCTTCCGTTCATTTATGTTCGAGGATATCCACGTCGTTGCTTCCCTGTCTGTGTTAGTTTTGACAAGGGCTAGCAGGGTAGTGTTTAGATATCGTCGTTTTATCATAAAAGGCCCATAGGGGTATGAGCTGCTCCCAAGAGTAAGATGTTTCAATGATTCATTGAGAGGTATATCTGTGTTGAATATACTCTCATTGTATTAAAGCACAACTTTTGCAGAAGTTGAATTTTCAAGTTTCAGAGGCATATTCTTGATCTTCACCTTGATATGTGGCAGCTTTTAATGATCACAAAGAAATGTATCAGGTGTATCTTTCTCTTTCCAGATCAACTCTACGTCTCAGTTCAACTCTAAAACATTCAAATGGTTAGTATATATATCATATACATATAGTCTGTTGCGCATTCTACCTTGCGGTGATGGAAAGTTCCTTATGTTTCTGCAGCTTCATGTTGTGATTACGCAGTTGGCATATTGGTCGTTATCAATCCGGGAGCTCCGCAGAGTCCTCTTTTAGCCTGTCCCATGTCCATTTCCATTGTTCCTGAATTTCTTCCACTGGTCCCACTGGTGAGATTATCTTATTTACTACCTTCTTCCGCCAATTGAGCTTACGAAAGGAAGATGGACCAGCGGCCTCCATGTTCAGCCCGATCTATGGAGACAGAAAAGGAAGAAAAGAGGTAATAATACGACTATATGCATAGTAGCAAGAATTATGTCCTGAACATTAATAGATCATTTGGAACCCGCTAGGCAGCCAGACCAATCCTGAACTCCTTTCCGCCCCTTACCACATCTAGAAGCTCTAACAAAGCCAGACAAGTACCAGAAGGCTGCTCTAGCATTTCCTCCACTCCTGCAAAACCCTATGACCGATTTCCCCTTCTCCTGTCAAACGAAAATCCATTCGGGATCTTCGGTACGGGTGCCGTCACATTTGCCGTGCGGGGTTTCTTCTCTGTCAACCGCGACCAAACTTCCGCAATCCCGACGCGCTGAGCAGGTAGCATGCTATACTGCAAACTATACATGTTCCGGCGATGGATGGGGGGAACAAAGCGACCTGTTACGAGGCAGAGGATTACGCTAGGTGCGAGGTAATGTTTGCGGAGACGGTGGCCAAGTTGGAAATACTGGTCGAACATTTGGCGGAGGGAGAGGGGTATGGACTTGTTTGGGCAAACAAGGCGTCAGTTGAAGTTGGGGGAAATGGGAATTGATAGAGATAACTTTTACCTGGAGATGGATATATGAGGTTGAAGTGGTGGGCATTTCGGCTGTTGTAGGTGTTGATGGCGGTGTTGGGGCTTTTCGGAGTGAGAAGTGAATACCGCCTGCACACGGAAAGTGTTAGTGGATCTGGGAAGGACTTGAATCAAAAGAGATCTGTGGAACAACATAATCTCACCTGGTAAGCGCCCTGGATCCTTCACGCGTAGCATCACCGCAAAGAGCGGAAAGTGGTTCAAAAAAGCAAGACAAGTATCTAGAGTTGCCTTAAGGGATATTATAATCATACGGGCAGAAGCAAAGGTGAGATAAAATACAATAATGGTGGGTAGCAAGAAGAAGAGAAGCGTGAACAATATCGTGCCCAAAAGTAATTGGTCGAGGTCATAGTCGCATGAGTCTATCCGGTTGCGGAGGACATTTCGCTTTTTGCCCCGAAAAAGATGAAATAGGGATATTATGATAGTGAGCTGCCAGTTAAAAATGCGGGCGGACGCGATGTAGAAGGAGTAGATATGGACGGTTAAAATTGATAGTAGGTCAGAGAACATGGCAATGGACATACTGGCACCGGCAAAGCCAGAGCATCCAATCATATAGATTACATGCCGGAGAAACGGTCTAAGGCCGGTCAGAACGCCTGAGGAATTTTAGCATGCGCAAACAAGATACGGGGGCTGGAGGATTAGAACTTACTAGCCCAATGTTCTATGACCCACAGAAACAAATCGCCCATAAAAACAGCCAGCTCGTTGTTAAGTTTCAGACCTGCAGGCCACCCCATAAGCCAAGATATTGTCCGCTGTAAACCCTCGACCGTCCACAACGAGAGAATCGAGTTAATTTGTGACGCTACCCAATCAGCATTATCGACGATATAGGATCCAAGAGCAATCCCAATTATCACATCATTAGCCACTAGCCACAGGCTGTTGTAGAACCTTATATAGTCTGGATGGCTATTTGTCACGCTTTCCCAGTCATCTTTCCGTTTTCGCAAAGTCAAATACTGAATTGGCCAGTAACAAAATTGCTGGAGTCGTATATCAATCTGTTGAGCTGTAGCGGATATATCCTTTAGCGCAGCAGCTTCTGGGCGAGCTCGCCATTCGAGGACACCCAAAACAACTTCAGCCACGACTCGATGACTGATGAGCGCTGCAATAAACCCTTTCGTAATGACGGGATAAATCCATACCAGAAATACATAAGACAAAACCATGTAGAAAAGGTCCCATGCGGTGCTCGCAGATTCAACAACCCGTTCACCAACACTAAGGCTGCGTTTTGGTCGGGCACCAATCAAACTCACATTTTTTACAAGAAGCGTTTCTAATTCGAAGGAACAATTGACCTGGTTAATGATTGCTGGGAGAAATTGTTCCTTTGGTGAAGGAACATGCTTAACCACAGTGTGGAATTTCAACTTCTCGACAAGCTTCCGGGTTTGCGCTTTCGCCTTGACCTCTGCTTGGCCAAAATCGTCTAAGACCTCTCCAGTATTTTCTAAACTTGTTGGTTTGTCCTCCAGAATTAAAGATATGGGCCTCAGGGACATAAACTGCATGTGCGTGGGATGGGGTCGTTTGAACGTAATAATCTGGATGGAAAGCTTCGTCTCAGGAGGACAGAAGATCCGTGGAACTTTAGAAGACGGCTTCCATATGATATAGAGGTGGGAAGGGGTAAACGCCGTTGGTAGTTCAGTAGGGTTTGTCGAGCCCAAGACATGCATCGAGTGCTTCCCGCAAAGGGCCATTATCCGAGATATCGGATGGGGGCTGCTGCGGAACAGAACGCCGGTTCGCAGTGCATTTTCGACATTTCGCGCCTAAGAGGAAATAGAAAATGCGTCAGAAACTGCTCACGCAACAAAGGGTTTGAACAAGGACTTACTTCCACATGCTCGAATACGGTAACCACAAAAAGATCAAACTCTGAGTTCCTCCACCCCACGATCACACCGGATGATGTGGACTTTGGTATGTCATTTGGCCAAAACAACCGCAGCAAACCATCACTCAGCATCTTATCATTCTCCTGCCCTTAGAACGAACCCCGGCGCCGCAGCTGCTCCCGCGCCGATATTCCGTGGCTCACCGCACGAGGATGCTAGTTAACTTGTAAGCAAAGGGGGGTTATTGTTGTCGGAGAAGAAGCGCATGGAATGTGTACCGAATTTATCTCTCGCGTCACAATGAGATTGATCGGGATGATAAAAAGGAAGTAGAAAATTGAAAGGACAATAAATCCCTTAGTAGCGCGAGTCTAATACAGTTTTGTCCCTGTCAGTCTCTAGGAGCCACGGGAGGAGCTAGGTTTCTTTCTTTTTTCATTTTTCATTTTCATTTCATTTCATTTTATTATTATTATTAGGGGAACTGCAAACGTACAACCACACCGTGATCCCAAGCAAATATGGCCAACTCGTACAACCGGGTGACTAGAT